CAATTTGAGGACACTGGACTTCCGCCCACGCAGAGCCCCGCATGCGTGGGTAAGGCTGGATACTCTGGGGTTTCACCCGGTTCCCCAGAGGCATCATTCGCGACACTGCTCCCCCAGTGACATGCAGCCATTGCCACGATGGCTTACAACTTGGCTTGGGGAGCTGGTCCGCGGCAACGGTCTTCCCTTACCCTCCACAGGGTTTTACTTCCGTGGGGCCAGGTTATAACCGCCACTACCCAGCAGCACTAAGTTCCCTCAGAAAACTCACACCTACTGGGCATCCTCCTATCCGCCACCTGGAGACGCGCCCGGTGGGTAGCTCAACCCCCGGGAAAAGTATGTTATAATTAACACAATTATCCACACAGCACAAAACCAAGATCTATAGAAAGAAGGTTACCTCATGCGCAAAGAGGGACGAGCGCACCGCTTTTTGATTACCTAACCTTTCTCGGATCGACAACTCGAATCGAATTCTAGTGTCGTAGATCGGTGAACATTGAGATTAACGCAGGCAGTGAAGTGTGAGTTTTGTGCTGTGATTCTCCCTTAAAAAATGGAAAAAGGTGCATAAGCGATAACATATAAGGCGTCAGAAACTATTAAATTGCTAGATAATTATTAAAATCTAAAATTATTTTATCATACGCAGGTCATTTTTCTATATATATCATAAATAAGGTTATGTTTGAGAGATGTTAGCTAGTAGAACACCACTACTACAATTTTTATTTATATATTTCATATTAATTTTTGTGCTATATATATATTTATAGCACAATTATATATATATATATATAATTTCTACAAATAAGTTAGTTTTACGTATGTAATACTATGTATATGTATAGTATAGTGAAAATAGGATTCAACATTATTGTTTTAAATTATATTGCAGGAGGAGTTTGCTTATTTACAGTAAAAAAACCAAAGGTACTAATATTTAAGTCATCATTAATTATTGCGTAAACAAGGTAACATAATAAATTCGAAAATAACCCTTACAAAAGTTGTTGGGTTTGGAGGGGGACATCCGATGATGAAATTGGTTTAACCTAGAGTGTACATGCCAAGGTCATATGGAAGTCAACTTTGTTTTTTTTAATGGGACACCCTATTTTTGATTCCAAAATCTAATTGCTGGTGTCAAGAGCTTTTCAAAACACTATAATGAAGTTATTTTTCATTAAGTACTTTTCGAGTTATGAGGCTTGTAAATTACAGTATTTTGACATAAAATATAAAATATCTTGTAAAACATTCAGTTTTTGAGAATGTTACCTTAATACTTTTATGCACAAAATAATGAGACAAATGAATTGGTATAAAGAAAACACAT